CGCCCCAGCCCATCCACGGCAGCTCTCCAACGCGAGTTTTATATGGTTTTCCATAATTTGGAGCATCCGCCCCTCATCCATCCGTCCATTTTGTTCTCCCACTCCGTTGCGGGTGTTGGGTCGTGGGTGGTCCGCCTGCTGGGGACGCGTCGGGGACGCGTCTTTGGCCTGCGGGCCTTTCCCCCTCATGCGCCCTCCAACCATTATTTGGGAGGGCTGCAATAGTTGATTATAATTGAATGAAGTGTGAAGAATCGATTACGATCATAATCTCAGCTAATTTCCAAGTTGTGGGCTGTTTTGCAGAAAAATGTTCTCTCTTTATCCATATGTTATTTATATGGGTGTGAATGGCTTCAAACACAGATCGTGATATACTTTGAGAATCGTGCACGAGGTGGGACCGTGCACGCCGCCGGGAAAACCCGTACAGTGGAGGGGGCAGTGCCACACAATTTTCAATTATCGGCAAACAACCTGCCCTTATCAAGAATTATGCGGGAGAAGGCAAAATTGTACAGGTTGGAGGCACAATAACTGATAAGCTACTCCAAAACGTTTCAATGTACAGCTCAGGCCGTCTTTATTACAACCAGGGAATGAAACCAGCGGAGTCATGTCGGAACTCCGCGGCTATTACTTAGTCACCGCACCTTGTAGATTACATAAGATTACATAAGCCCTGGGTATATATACCCGTCAAGGTAAACTATGTACTTCTGATCGAATACAAGCATCTCACTGCCTCTGAACAGGTATCCTATTGTTTCCGTGATTGATTGACACGCCAAAACGATCAACAGTTATAAGCCCAATTTGCCTTGAAGCTCGATCTCTATATCAGCTTTCCGATTGATCTTAATATAGACCGTTGCTCCGCCAAAGCATCGTCTTCCGCCCGCTTCCGCGTCCCTCGACGACATCCCGAGAGACTCCATTCCTACCTACGTCTAGGAACTGTCCTATTATAGCGACATTTTCACAATGTCTTCTTCTACCAATTCCAATTATACGGTCACTATCCAGAACCCGTTGAAGGATATCACCAACTGGATCGACTGGTACGAAGAGATCAAGAACTACGCCCAACGCATCAAAGTTTGGGACTACGTCAACCCAACCTTCGTCGAAAGCCCTGCCTCAGAAGGAAAGGAAGCAGTAAAGCAACCTGTCCATAAGGATCCTGCTCTTCCTCCTAGTCCATCTAGAAATGAGACGAACCCTGACATACAATGGCTCTGGAAAACCTTCGAATACGAGAAAAGAGCATACGATCTGTAAGAGTCTCACTGTCGGGAATCTCCAATCGTGAGGCAAACATTGAATTGTTGCTATGAAGGAGGAATCTATCTAAGGTGTGCGAGGCGTTTATCTGTTCTGGTGTTTACAGAGCAAACGGGCCACAGGGCCACAAGGCATCCAGGTCTGCGGACCTCTGATCCATCACAGGTACATTTGGTGGAGTGTGCGCATATACATGCCTAGGTTACGCTCGATCCTCGCCTTTGGTGTTCCTATAACCGCTGCGCTTATTCTCGGAGGCTCCTTCAACTACTACCTGCAAACGGATAAGAGAGCCATGTCTAGTACCGTCGACAAGTCGTGGGTCGAGGGCCCGGTCCCACTTGTGCATACACCCATATATGAGACCAAAAAGGTACGCCATTTATCTTCACCCGCTTATTCAACCTGATTACCCCCCTGGCGAGCGTGAAGCAAGCCGCTAACTTTTCCCAGAACAACACCTTCACTACCGGCGCCTCCCATATGGCCTTGATGCACAATGCCGTCTTCCGCGGCTTTAATAGCATCTACAACCAAGCCCTTTCCGTGCCCGCCGCCCAGCACGCCAACTTCATCGGCTACGCCAGCGCGTGGACGAAGCTCGTCATCTCGCACGCCGAGGCCGAGGAACGCGACCTCTTCCCGCACGTCGAGGCCGAAATGAAGAAGCCCGGCTATTTCGACGACACCCTTGGCGAGCACGAGGCCTTCGTCTCCGGCGTCCAGACGATGTCCGACTACCTGCACGCCTCCGCGCAGGAGCCGGCGTCGTTCAAGCCGCAGACTCTCCGCGACAAGATGGACGCGTTCCTTGAGCCGTTTCAGTCGCATTTTCACTCGGAGATCAAGACCATCGCAGCGCTGGCGGCCGGGCCGGAGCCGACGGAAAAGGCGGCGAAGGCGTTCGAGGACTGGGGGAGGACGAGTATAACGAATGCGGGGTACACGGATGTATTTGTGTTTTTGCTGCTGCATATGGATCGAGAGTTTGAGGACGGTTTGTGGATGAATTGGCCACCAATTCCCGGTCTAGTGAAGATGGGGTTGGCGAATGTGTTTATGCTGAGGCATCCCGGGTGGTGGCAGTTTGCGTCGTCGGATACGGCGGGCAACGTGAAGCCGATGAAGATGTGGGCTTAGGGTGGTATGAGAAGTGGGAAGGCGGTGAAGGGGAGAGCGGTTGAGATGCTTGTAGGTCTTGGTTTCCTTGTGCTTTAAGGAGTTGGAGAATAGATATCGCATCCCTGCGAAGGATCGAAGTTGAAGTAGAGGGTGAATTCAGTTTGATGCCTTATGGCGCGGGGGCGTACCATAAGGTGGTCCATTTGGTGCAGTGGTTAACTCTGAGAAATCCCTCTCTTCTGTTTCCCCAAGCCCGGCCATGCACATTTGCTCCGATATTCTCGCCCACCGGTCTGATGGCGGCGCGAGGCCCGCAGATTTCTGCCATATTCCTTTTCCAGTCGAAGAGGAGGTCGACGACTCCTCTATCTGTATTATGCCTAATTCCGCTATTGAGGGATCGGTCCGCGGCGAACTCTAGCAGGCTATGTTCCGAATCGTCTCCATTTGTGACAGTCTTGGGCTTTGCCCAGTCTGTGTGTTGTGGCCTTGCGGCCTAAGGCAGAAGGGATGGGTAGACCGTTTGTCCACAGATGTAAATAGCAGATCGCAGTGAGAGAGATCTTCTCCTTCTCTCTTTAGCAATTCAACAGCGTTACCAGCTTACCAAATCCTTTGTGGTTTGGGCCCTTGACACTGAGCGGCCAATTGGCGGAGCTCTAGTTCTTGTCTACGCGTAGCTAAGTCTTGCTCCCTTTCTACGGCTACGCGCTGGAGGCGCGGTAGAGAGTTTTCACTAGAAGGTTAATATAATCGAAACATGTTTAAAGTACGTTATAAATACCTTATTGGCCTATTGCTAGTTCCGACCGACTCAGACCTCCTAGCTCTTAAAGCCGGAGATCTTGATCCTCGTCGACTTGGAGTCCGTACGTAACCAGACGACGACGCAAGTGTAAGGATCTCATCGTCGTTATGGTCCAATGACGGTTCAACTCTACGTCTTTTGAGTTGAATACGCTCTGAATATGTTTAGAACCTGTTTGGTACAGAGCCACTACTATGTAACTCACTGTCTTTGCGCATTTGCTCCTCATATCGGGCTTGAAGCGTTGTATTCCGTTGGACGTGGGTCATATTATGGTCTTCCCGTATACGATACTGGTCGAGATCTCGCTTATCCCTAGTCTGGGCACTAAACGCATTTATAGTAAGTATAGAACATGTTCCGGTCGCGTATTCTTACTGTTTAATAGCGATAAGCAGGTCTTGTCGCTTGCCTGGCGCGTATGATTTGTTTGCGGCTTGCTCAACGGCATTTGTATGCTTTAGGACACTGTCGAACACGTTCGGATCCATATCGGAACAAGCTCTGTTTAGACCTGCTGCGATAACCGGGTGTCGTTTATGACGTACCCATTGCTGGATCTCAACACGTTCGTGCTCTAATACGTTTAGAACCTGTTCGAAACTCGTTTACAGTTTATTCGGAACGTACCTGTAATCAAATCGCAGAGCTGATAATACTCATCCCGTGTCTTACACGTAAGTAAAGACCGCAGGCGGCTACGGAGCGTTAAGCCTGCCTCGTCTTCCCGGATAAGCTTCTCAATACTGCGAAAGAAGTGGACACGGCAAAATATGACCGTCCGGCGCGCGTGCCAGTCCCAAGAGCGGCGCTGGGGGTCAACGGTTTTAAGATACCTTCCGAACCCTTTCCGAACGCGTTAGGATTAAGTTTATAGGATATAGAATTGAATTCCATACCTTTCATCTGTTTTGGACACATATCCATTACTACCGCAGAAAAGGAATTTACGGCGGTTTCATGGACGTGCTTCCATTTCACAGGCGTTTCCGCTACTTTCGAAGCGGTACTGAAGAATCGCTCAAAGGCCAACTGATAGCCTTGGACGGAATCCATATTCGTTAGGATGCGACCCCAAGTAATGACTAATAGTATTAGGAACGTGTTCGGAATACGTTAGGAACGTAATAAGACATACTTTTTCCGTGTGATGGGATGAGATTTGCGAAAATGATCTCATTGATGTCCTTTTGTCGAATCCGTTTGAAAGACATATCAACTTCGAAGGAATCTTGTTGAAATAGAAGCTTGACCTGCTGCTGGAAGAAACAAATAATCATGATATCGTTGCCGTCGTCAAAAATCTCTTGGATGTATGCCTATTACGTTAGTAGCCGGTTCCGAACATGTTATAAGTATATTACATACAGTTTCTGGAATCGAATATCGAATGATGTATTCCCTTCTCAAACACTACACCTTGGAAATGGGTTCCGTGAGGATTTAGAAGTAGTCTCTCCTTACGAATCAGGGCTGAAATCCGGTCCATATTACCAAAGCTCTGATGGACTTCTGCTAAAGAAGCCTTATTATACTGTAGGCAGAAGTCTCGGAGCGCCTCACTTTGCATAAATTTCGCTATACGGTATTAGACCATGTTCAGAACGTGTTAGGAATACGTTTACCAAGAGTTAACTTCGCGTCCCTTGTCCGTTTGATCAGTCTAATAACCTCGTCACACAGCTTGGTTGGGGCTTTTGACGGTGGCGGTGGTGGATGAGTATGAGTACCATAAGATGTAAAAAGCATATATGGTACTGCTACAAGGTCCTCAGGCATAAAGACAACAAATCTGACGTTGCAGCCTATCGATTCGAGCCTACCTTGCCCCTGGTAGTGATCTACATCTATAGAACGCGTTAGAAACGTATTATAAACACGTTCGAAATAGGGTCTTACTGCATGTAGGTCTCCGGGTTTGGTTTCCTTCAATGACACCGCATTCTTCTGACGGATGATCTTGCGCCTGTCCCTCGTTAACTAACTCACAGAGATGATCAATATTATAACGCCCGTCGGTTGCGATCGCTTTAAAAAAGTGTTTAGAACGCGTTTCTGGAGTCGAGTTCGAGCATCTAAAATATGGATTGTAGATACCAGCAACATCCTAAATGAATTAGTCTTTTTAAGATACATAGATATATTATAGGATATTAAGATACCAGGTAATGGCTAAGCTGAAATAAAAGCTTGCAGCTATCGCCTTGATTTGTACAAGCTGTCTTCGCATTGAATTTCTTCTGCGCGGCAAGATAGAGACTTAATCAAGTTAGTATTAGGTTCAGAACATGTTAAGAGGTTGTTCCTAACGTATTCGAGTATCTTTTCCTTAGGTCTGGCTCTGTGAGGTCAATTCCCGTACGCGATCCTCGAATCTGCTCCCAAAGCTCTTCAGACGTGGTTGTATGGTGTAGGTTCCGTAACGTGTTCGAAACGTATTCGCAAACCTTTACACCAGTACACTGGAGGTGACTCTTCATCCCGAACGTATTTCCAAGAAAGGGAATCCTTGTCCGGTTAGCAGGATACCGAATCCTATGGCCGTATTGAATCTATTTATAAAGTACATTTAGTATTTAATAGTATATAACTATTAGGAATTCGTTAAGCTTACTGTCCATTTCCCTGCCTGCTCTTCCCCTTGGAGATTTATACAGTATGTATAGCCATCTGGATGTGTTTGAGGATAGTCTGGAAGTACTGTAGTATACTCTAAGAAAAGCGTAGTAAGTGGTGGCCTTGAATTCCTCGCCAGCATAGTCAGGGCTTGAGGGACATCCTAACATGTTCATAAGCATACAGGAACATGATCTAAACGTGTTTCGAATTACATTGTCTCCTTGGTCTTCCGCTGTATTGGCTATGCGTATTTCGTCGTTTAGCAGGTCGAGGATCTGTTCATCGTCGACTCCAGGGTCTGGAGTCGACATCGTACCAGATTCCGAGCCGTCTATAATGTATTAGTATGCGAATACGTTCTGAACGTGTATGGAACATGTTACCCATGCGGTAGCAAGTTGCCGATGTCGAAAAACAACAAACAGAAGTTGGCAGTAGAGTCGAAAAGGTGATCTAAGCTTTATATTTCTAAGGTGAGCTTTAAGGGGAGTTCCTTAAAATTCCCTATGTCTGCCGAGGTTTACCCAACATCAGGTGAGCTGTACGCTCGTCTACGTACCCTGACATTCAGCCAGGTTTACTACGTATTAGCCCTCTAGCTACTGCCTAACTCTCTACCCATCCATGTCTAAGAAAACCACTGACGTAATGTGGCGCTAGGCAGAAACGTCTCTCCCAGACTCCCCACGTAGCTTTCTTAGGGCGCTTGCTGTAGCGTCTAGGTTCGGATTTGCCACACGTCCGTGTATAAATATGTCAGTAATACAAGTAACAAAAGCTCGGGATTTATCTATCGTCTCTATAATTCTGCTTCCCAAATAACGAGTTTCGGCAAAGAAAATGGAACCTCATTTGGAGGACCTTTCTTCACAACTTCCTAAAAATATGACCAAGAAAGAGTACAAAGTATTTCACAGGCAGTACATGCAAGATGTGAAAAAGAAAATAATTCAGGCTAAACGAAATGGAACTCTTGATGGCCTTGGGTGCAAGGTTACAGACGTGGTTATCCGTCCTAGTACTGTCAATATGGCGACTATGAAGGGAACTGATAAAGAGAAAGCGGACAGAGTTGAAGAACTCTACCACAATACTGGCCGGTAAGATAAACCCGCTAATATTGATTTAAACCGCTAACTCCCGTAGCTTCCTCGATCCGACGATACAATACCCACCAGGGTTACTCGATCTCGTTAGAAAAGATTTTGCGCTAAATGCACGAGGAATATACTATCACCAGTTTTATAAACCAATGTTTGTAAAATCTAGTCGCAGTATATGGATACCTACTCTAGAAGACCTTAATTGGAACGACCCTCGGGAGGCCGATCGCAGGCGACGTGCGAGGAGATTTGCAGAGCATAATAGAAACAATGAGTTGTGGAAAAAGAGTGAATACCCATGGGATGCAGATGCTTGGTCTGATGTATTCGGTCAGATTAGGGATGATCCATATCTGACGATGTAATTCTGCCCTCTTTACTGCAAAAATAGCGCTAACAGTTTCTTCTAGGGACAAGCATGGGTATCACACTTTCAAAAAGAAAACCGATGCTATTCGGTGCACCTTAACCGGCGAATCGAAGATAATCCACCGGATACCAGATATAACATTTGGTCTGGCCACATTCTCAGATCATCAATCTCCAGCATTCGTTGAGCAGCTACACCAAGACACGTTAGAGAGGGTGTTATTGCACCCAAAGTGTGGACTATTGGCCGATCCACATTGGGGCCGAACTCAGCTGGCATTTCCTTTTGCAGTCTACGAGGCCAAAGGCTGGGATGGAGATTGCCGTACCGCGCGCCGACAGGCTTGTCTGGCCGCAGCCACGTATCTCGATCTACTGGACAACCTAGCGCGTACCCCTGGCCCAAAGGAGAACTACGAGAAAAGGGTGTACCAAACCTCTACTAGCCACAAGTACCAAGTGTTCGCTTTGACTTCATTTGGTGCTCATTGGCATGTATTAGTCGGATACCGGCGACCACGAGTAGACAACTCTACTACTTGTGGAACTGACTGGTGGTATCAAGAACCCAACGAGTTCGCTGGCAGGGAAGATATGAGCGATACGGTCTATGTACGTCCCTCATGTTCTGTATCATATTGGAATCAGAAACTAACCCTTAAACTCCAGGTCTTCCAGCGAATATGGAGCGGCCGTATCGTTACGGAAATGAAAGCCTGGGAGCTACTATCGATAGTAGACCAAATACACAATTGGGCTATATCAGAGCACAGGGCCTTCGTGCTTGGCCATCTGAAGTCATGGCAAAAGTTCTGCGAAGAGAATTTTCTTTTGGACTGGAGCTCAATGTATAACATTGGTAGAAAGTGGGAGCGAGTCTTGAGCCACGATGTGGATTTGCCACTCCCCTCCTGGACCAAAGATTCGCGAAAAAAAGAGCTTGGAAAATTGCAAGTCAGAGCCAAAGTGGCCTTAGCTAATGCTCAAAGAAAAGAAGAGCGGCGGCGCAAAGGGGAGATACTCGTTTCTTCTGATTTAAAAGAGGGAGAGAGTGTCTTTTACTGCGAGAAAGGAAACTGTTGGTCCCAGATGGAGGTCGGCCTTGGAAAGGAGATAGGCTCGTTCGGCGCGTTACTCGATAATTGGCAGATCGCTCACGGCTTTGATGGTAAAAAGTTAGGTGTAATGAGGGAGAACGAACTTCTTGAGGGTCTAGTTTGGGAAGGGGATTCTGATCCGGTATATTCTGATCAAAGTGCTGTTGGTAGCGCTTTGAGTGGTGTACGGAGATGTCTTGAAATTGATGAACAGCGTCGTGGGAAAACCAGGCGAGATTTTGAAGATTTTGAAGATGATTCAGGACTGGATGGTAGAAACGGGCAGGGAGCATCGAAAAGACGAAGGATACAGGACGGCCTGAACAGTGCCTCAACAGGATGAGTATATATAGCGGAGTATGGTGTTTGGTGTTCCAATCGAAGGGTCTTCTAAATTTTACATTTCCAGCTATTTCGTCCAAATTTCAGCAGCAAATCAAGCTACAGAGTAAAATATATCATAGACCCAAACCACGAAGGACTTGGTAAGCTGGTAACGCTGATGAATTGCTGAAGAGAAAAGAAAAAGATCTCTCGTACTACGATCTACTATTTACATCTGTGTATAAACGGTCTACCTACTGTACTATGGTTAATTGCACCTTTGGTAAGGCGCAATTTATTTGTATGTGTAACAGTGTAAGGGTCTCACTGTAGGGAGTCTCCAATCGTGAGGCAAATATTGAATTGTTGCTATGAAGGAGGAATCTACAGTACTAAGTGAGGATTCACCCTCTGTATAGGGCTGTTCCCGATTGGCGGATTTCCCGATTTTGCGGATACGATATCGGCACGGATACGATATCGTTAACCTTTCAGGTTTACGGATACGATTCGCCGATTTATATCGGCAGCTTTCTATTCTACCGATATTTTATCCGTTAAATTTTGTCAATATCGGCGAAATCGGTGAATCGGTAAACTACTTCATTAGGACTAGCTTCAATCTGATTTCTATAAAGATTTTTGGATAACTTGGCTGCTGGAATTCTAGGGCTTTGCATAGGGATCATTTATCAACATTAACATCCGCATTGTTTTACCCTTCATCGAATATCTCCGGATACCTAATATATCTCTTGCCGCATTGAATAATCGTTCTACTGACACCTCTAACGATGGAATTGGTAGATACTCTCTTGCTGCTGCTGCCATTTGAGGCAGTTCATCCTTGTATACTCGCCACCAGTTACAAAGCCAATTCGGATCTGTAGTATTAATATTGCTAACTCGAGGACTGTCAAAGTACCGATTAATATCGGACAGAAGGGGAACCGCTTGAGGCTGTAGCCGTTGGAGTATTCGGGATTCTACCGTCTTGATTTCCGATGCCGACTGCTGTAATACCGTTCTAGGCGATTCGCGGTTCCGAAGTGGATATTTCTAATGAAGACTGTTACGGACAGCTCTTAATATTAGATTCCCAGCCTCTTTATCCTCTAATTTATTAATAATAATAATAATAAGAATCAATTTAACGTACTATCTGGATCCCTTTCGGGTCTACGAGCACGATATTCTATCTGGTCTGCCGCGGGCAAAAGTTTCCCCGTAGCCCTGAGGCTGCGGGTACATAAAATCCCGCCTCCTCCCTTTAGTAGACTATCTGAAACGTTTATTATCTATCCGTAAGAGTCGGTGTTTCCGCCTACGCGGAGAGCTTATTCTGGCACGTCGTGGAGGAACTGGAACGGTTTCTAGTCCTCTATTACCTCCTCCTTAACTTCCTTAGCTACCCGGTATTACTCTAGGCCTCCCGTATCGATTAGCCACCTTGCTACGTGGCGTACCTTGTCCCTATTATGCAATATCCTCTTAAAGTCCGTTGTTCCAGCTCGTTAGAGGAGCTCGATCCTCTGGTCGGTCCGCTGCGGGCAAAATACAAGGAGATAGTAGAGAGACTATCGGGGGGCACCGTACTCATACGCTAGGTGGATTCTAGGGATACTAATTTTTGCGAGCCATCCTTTAACTCTAACTACCTTAGTCCGTAGTACTATAAGCGCCGAGGCCTCGTATTTCTAAAGGCCGTCGTACCGGTTAAGGCACTAGGTTTCCTACGGGTCCTTCTATATCCTTACTCTCCTTCCTAGTCTAGCCGCTTCGGCTTACTATCTCTCCCTCTATTTCGCTCGATACTCGTCCTAGATTATCCGGTACGGGCCTTTTCGCTATTATATCTAATATCCTCTAATTAGTTCGGGCCGGGGGAATAGAAGTCTATTATACTAGGTCCGAAGCGTACTTATCGCGGGTTCAGGTTTAGACCGGATACGGCGGGGTCGGCCTCGAGTTCGTCTCGGGGGAGCAGAAGTAGTATCCTAGACTTACGTTAGGGCTCCCTTAATCTGGGTAGTGATCTTGTAGGTGTTCGTCGATGCTACTCTTTGGGCGGCCCGTTCTTAGACGTAGAGTTCGATTGGGGGAACGTCCGCCTCTCTCTTAAGCGCGGCGATTGGTGTCCGTTTGTAAGCCCCTAGGATCTTTCGTAGACACTTGTTCTGAACCTTGGCTAGGTCCTTCATTTTGCCTTCAGAGATTGGCTTACCCTGCTAATAGACTCCCCAAATAGGGGCGCCGTATGTCATAATAGGCCGTGCAACCGCTATGTAGAGCAGCCTCGATTTCCGGACGGATAGTCCCTATACCGATGAAGTTACCCTCGCTAGGGAGTCGAAGGCCTTAAGTCCCCTCTATATTACCCGGAGGATATAGTCCTTCTATAAGAGGGAAGGGTCGAGCTAAACTCCTAGTACCCGGAGGGATATAACTAATTTAGCTTAATGTCCCTATATTTAGATCGTAGACCGGAGATTAGCGGAAATATTACGTTTCTTGGTAAAGTAGATAATCTGGTACTTATCCGGGGTAAATTTAGCCCCGAACCGTGACGCCTATTCTAGGTAAGTATCGTAGGCCGCAGTTAGTCGTTGGCAGTTAGCTACTACCGTATCTCCCTAGGTAACCAGTGTAGTATTATTAACGAACCCGAACCCGAGCACGTTACCCTAAATATCCTTAAACTGATACAGTAGGTCAGATATGAATAGGATAAACAGCGCGGGTGATAGGGTAGAGCCTTACGGGATCCCTGTCTCCGTGTCGAACTAGCGGCTCTTAAAGTCCGAGAAGAGAATCTTTGTTCGCCGTCCGGTTAAGAAAGATACGATTATCTAGATAATCTATTCGGGATATCCTATCCGACGAAGGACCTAGAGCAGCCGGGGGTAAGAGACGTTATCAAAAGCTCCAGCAAGGTCAAGCCTAAGTATAGAGACTACAGACTTCTTTACGTGCTACGCCGTCTATATAGTCCCGGTAAGGAGTTCTAGGGCGGAGAGAGTAGATCTCTCCTTTCGAGCTCCTATTTGGTTCTAGGGAATCAGATCTCGTATTTCCGCTTTAGTGATCAGTCGATCTGCGAGGATTTTCTCGATTAGCTTTGTAACCGTGTTTTTAAGAGTAATAGGGCGGTAGCTGCTTAGAAGAGAGTAGTCCTTTTTCTTGTCCTTCCTTAGTACCACCGTAGTAGATTCCTTTAGAACTGCTAGTAGCTCCCCGCTTCGGAAGAGAGCGGTAACCGTCCGGGCTAGGTCTACGGCTAGGATATTAGAGAGGGCCTTTAGTACCTCGTTCGGGATCATATTAGGCCCGGGGGCCTTCTAGTTCGGTAGCCGGCGGATAATCCGGGTAATCTTATCTAGGGTAACCTCTTGCCCGATATCGAATCGTGGGAACTATTCGTTAGTTATATCTTAGAGGTCAGCGGCACCGCTCCGTGGGAAGAACTTTGTAGCAAGGATCTCTACTTTCCCTTAGTTATCTCCCGTCGGGGGATCGTTCTCCGTGCGCCTAAGTAGTAGGATAGCTATAAGCCTACCGGGTTACCTAGCGGTCTTCTGGCTCTACTTATTTAGTCTCTAGAGCCCTCGGTTATATATATAGTCCGGGTAATTCTCGTCTTTAGTAAGTGTCTAGATAAGTTTTCTCTATCTCGTCCGGCCGTTACTACGCATCTTCCTCCTTAGGGCATTCCTTTAGTATTTCTAGTCTCGTTCGTCGTCCGGGTCCTAGGTCCGTTAGAGCCGGCGTCGGGCCTAGCGGGCGCCAGCTAGGAACTCTGCTGCCTATAGTGACTACTCCGGTCTAGACTAGTCACAAGGTCGCGCCCGTTTATAGTGCTTATCTAAGGTGCCGTAAAGAAGTCTAATAAGGTTATTAATCGCAGTATAGGGTTCTAGTACATACCACTAGGAGCTAGAGACATCTTCCCGGATTTTTTCCCACGGGGCATCCTTGAGTATAAACCTTAGGCTCGTCTAGTATAAGGAAACCTTAGCATCTAGTTTAGATCTCGATTAGAAAGTAGTCCTTTATAGTAGACTACTCCGGCCGTAGGTAGTAGAGGAGGATCCGTAAGGCGATCTCCGGCGAGGCAAAGGCTAGGTTAATGACCGACTAGCTTTAGTTCCGCTTCTATATTATTACCCCTTACTCGTTAAGGAGCTAGAGGTTAGCTTGCTCGGTTTAGAGGAGTAGGTAGTCTACCTTTAGCTCCTTTAGGGTTCCGGTTCTACCCCAGGCTGGGTGATGGTAGTTAAAGTCCCCTAGGAGGATAACGTTCTCTTGGCCAATTTCGCAGAGAATTTCTGCGATCTCCGGCCACTTCTTAAGCTGTGGCTGGCCTACGTGCCCTGGTGGATTATATACGTTAACGAGGTTGAGGGGTCCGTCACGCGTTATAACGCGGATCCATTCGATGTGGTCGGAGGCTCGCTTTGATTCCCAAGCTGTAAGAAGGATCTTATCGTGGATAAAGAAGACGACCCGTATACCGTAGTATATAGGTCGGCTTGGGCGAAAATTCTTTGGTGTATAGGTGACTGTTGGTTTGGTTTCGGCGACCATCGGTTCCTGAATTGCAAGTATAGGGAACCGGGTAGGGTTAATCGAGTCGAAGGTAGCCCTAGCCTTATCGTTGTTCGCATTACCGTAGTTATATTAGAGGATGCCGGTCCCTATCATTGAGTACTAGGGGTATTGTCCTTTCCGGTAAGTGTCGTATCCTCTCCGGTTATATCCTTTCCGGTAGATGTCGTGTCCTCTCCGGTTATATCCTTTCCGGTAGGTATCGTAAAGGTAGAAGTACTAATGCCGGATATAAAGTCTTCTAGTTAACTAGCCGAGAGCTAGAGTCGCTGCTGCCCTGGGGCTCGGGCTGCTACCGTGATTCCTAAGGGCCTCCCAGGTCCCGCCATCCTCCGCTTCTAGGTGTTGCTAATAATAATATATCCATCGTCATCGTGGCGGAACTGGTAGGTTGTGACATTTTGGTTTTGGTTTTGGTTTTGGTTTTGGTTTTGCCCCCGGTAGACGGCGAGGGTAGCTTCATTAAGGCGGTTTTCTGTAGCTCGCTGGCCAGCTACGAAGGATTTATATACCGCGCAGCTTCTGGTTATCTAGGCAAAGTGCCTAGGTTTCTTACACCCTGCGCACCTTGCCTCTTGAAGGTCTTGTATTATATATCCCCTTATAGGGTAGTGTTTTGCGCAGCGCCCACAGGTGTCGCTATCCGCGTTATAAACGGACTACGTGTGGCCCTATTTCTAACAGCGGATATACTAGATCGCCCGGAGAGTAACGTCCCATAGTTTAGCTGGGAGCCATAGGGCGCTATATAGGAAGCCGTCCTTAATAAGACGTATCACGTCAGTTTCGGTAGCCACCTCGATAATAATTGATCCCTTCGTCTGTGACCCAGCATTCCGGATAGCCGCTAGCTTCTCTTTCTTATAGAGCCAGGAGATTCGTTCAATTTTAACAGCGTTTTAGTTCGACATCTATCTCGCCCATTCGGTGTTCCCCTTACTTTTACCGGTTATAATCTATATATAAATTAGGATACCTATTACTATAAGTAGCTTCGGGCGACGGATCAGTTTAATGCCGTTATCCCCAGCGATTCTAGTAGCGATAATCTAGTCCCGTCGGGTAGTGGTAGGAACCACGACCGACACCTTACCGGCTGCCCGGTAGTGGGGGATAATCGCTTTCGCGTCTAGGATTACCTTCTTGATTCTCTATAGTTTCTCTTCCGTCGTCTCTTCTACGGCTCCTGCTATTTTAGAGAGGCGCACTTCAACGACCGCCTTAGTCTTTCCCCCTACGGCGATCTTACTCTAGGTTCGTATCTCGGTGGTTAGGGCCGCGGCTAGGCGACCGCGGTCTTTCGCGATTCTAGCTTTAATACGTCTAAGACGCTCTAATATTTGACCCATCGCTGGGTCCCTGGCGGGTGTTCCCGCCTACGCCTTTTCTATACTCTTTCTCTATGCTAGCTCCGGAATAAGCCGGAGAACGGGCGTTAGGTAAGCCTTAAGAACTCTACGGAGCGACCCCGCCCTAGCCTATCCACGGCAGCTCTCTAACGCGAGTTTTATATAGTTTTCCATAATTTGGAGTATCCGCCCCTCATCTATCCGTCCATTTTGTTCTCCTACTCCGTTGCGGGTGTTGGGTCGTGGGTGGTCCGCCTGCTGGGGACGCGTCGGGGACGCGTCTTTGGCCTGCGGGCCTTTCCCCCTCATGCGCCCTCTAACCATTATTTGGGAGGGCTGCAATAGTTGATTATAATTGAATGAAGTGTGAAGAATCGATTACGATCATAATCTCAGCTAATTTCCAAGTTGTGGGCTGTTTTGCAGAAAAATGTTCCTTGCTTTAACAAAAAAATTTTCCTCTAATTTATTAAGGATTAGGTCTCCTTTCACCCGAGGATCTAGAATTAGAGTAGTGTAGTAGGTATCTAATTCATCTATAAAGGTGTAGTATTTCTCGTATTTCTTTATTCCTTCCTTGATTGCTTGGGTAATATCACGATTTAATCCCGAAAAGACTCCCTGAGCTTCAGACCCCTCATTGAGTAAATCATATAGCTCATAATAGAGTGGGACGGTAAGGCTGATCTGTGGCTTTCGCTCTGATACGAACAGGGTGAGCTCGTTGAACTTGCTCAGTACTTGATGAATCTGAGACAGGTGCTGCCATTCCTCGGCGGTAAAGGAAGGTATCTCCGTCTATAGGGCTACGTATCGATTGATCTAAGCCTTTGCTTTTAACCCGTCATCTAACATTCGATAGGTAGAGTTCTAACGAGTCTCTACATCATATTCAATGAATTTTTCTAAGAGATTCATGAATTAACAGACTTCTTTCTATTTCTGCCGTCTCTATGGGCTCCGGTTAATCTAGAGAGCGAGAATTCGGAGCTTAGACAATGCTGTCTGACTCGATATAGATCCCCCAGCGTATAAGCTATCATAGATGGTGTATGCCGCTTCCACGCTTCCTGATTTCAAGGCGCGAAGGATATCTTGAACGATTAAGTTCAAAATATGGGCCAGGCAGCGGATGTAGCTGTCCACTCCGCGGAATAGAAGCCCGTTTAGGAGCGTCTCTGCGCCATATTTTTCGTTCAAGGTATAGAACAATTCTAAGGCCATAACTTCATTATTACGGGCATTGTCTCCAGTAATTATAATCAACTTTAATGTTAGATCCAACTCTACGAGAGTAGCATTAATAGCTGCCGCAAGATTTTCCCTACTATGTACTCTACGGAGTTCACAGAATTCTAAGGTCCGTTCCTGATATTCGAACGTCTCCGTAAGCCAGTGGCCGATTATACCGAGAATAGGAAGGTGGTTTTTGCTCGTCCAGATGTCAAGAGACAAGGCAATAGTTATGCAGGTTACGGAAAGCTCCTCCTTTAATTAAAGACGCTGCATATTAAAGCTTTCTATAAGCCGCCGTCGTAGGGTAGACCGTGAAGAGAACGGGAGTAAGATACCTAGAATATCTCGAAAGATTTGCTAGAAAGCTGGCGATTCGATGGTAGTAAAAGCTTGTTTATCATAGATAACCCATTAAAGAATATTCCGCTCAAGAAGTTGTTAGTATAATAAGGTCTCTTTCCGAGTAAGAAGGCTAATAACGCTTGCCTGCTTCTTTAGAAGGGGCTTATCTTAAGAATGAGGGGAATAGATAGAGTACTTTTTAAGATACTACTGCATATTCGAAGTAAATGTCTGCCGTAATAAATCTAAGGTCGTCCAAGGATATTGGATACTAGTCTTCTTATTAATAAAAGCACATCGAATCTCTATATCTGTAGTTTACCGCTTTCCTGACCGCTTTATAACCTATTCGCGAGCTACTTCAGTGTCAGGGCACGAAGAATGAGGCAAAACTCTGTGATTCGTGATATACTAGAATCAATCTACCAAGGGGAAAGGGAGATCTAAGTGTGAGGGGAAATATTCAGTAGGCCTTGGGGTGACCACAACACATCGTGAGGCCGTAAGGCATCCACATCCCAAGGCCCCAAGGCATCAGACTGAATTCAATCTTCGATCCTTCACATTCAGTCGTTTAGAAATAATCCTACATCTACGCTGTAGTAGGCGCTGGGCGTTTCCGGGGCAGGATCGAGGATGATACTGTTAGTGCGGAATAAGTCAGGGCCTGTAAAACTGACTCTGAGGGCAGGACTTCAGTTGATGATAGATTGACAAAAGATTCAAAATCGGATTCCGTTATTTGATCTTCTGGTAAAGTTTCATCGTATCCATCATTAAGTAAGAGGTAATTCTGTTGGTTATGGCGGGTAACCATTGCTCTATTCTCATTCAAAGCCATGATGGTTATGCTGCCAAAAGAAGTCTAGAAAGTTATCATTCAATGTAAAATATATGTAGAATCTATAATATTGCGCGTAATAGACATTATTACCGTCGCTGCGAGAAGATATACAGGAGAGAATACCAAATTAGGACGAACTCATGATTTAGCGCCAATATCGGAGACGATAGTCGTATCGGCGACGATCTTGCCGATATTTATTCGCATTCGCCGTATCTCTGCGGATACGATTGGCCGATATAAATCGGCGGGATTCTTCCTCACCGATACGATAACCGATATGGCAAGATCGTGACGATATCGTATCGGGAACACCCCTACCTCTGTATGACCCTTTTGAGCCCGATGGGCCCGGATCGAATCATCTTTTCTCCTTACCCCGCCCGCTTTGAGATATATTGTCACGGTCGTACTTTCGTACTTTGAGGCGTTGAAGTATTGTAGCCTTATAGCCTGATATTGGTGCCTCACGATACGATGCAAGGGTGGGGCGCTTAGTCATGGCGCAGAGTCCCAATCAATATCTGTCAAGATCTGATGTCATTACTTAGTCATTCATTTCCCCGCTTCGGCTATTACTTAGTCATTCGTTCCCCCTCTTCGGCTATTACTTAGTCATGGGTATATCTACCTCGTTCTGTATTCTACTTCTTACAGAAATACAAGCATCGCATTGCCTCTGAACAGGTATCCTATTGCTTCCGTGATTAACGACACGCCAAAACGTTCAACAGTTATGAGCCCAATTTGCCTTAAAGCTCGATCTCTATATCAGCTTTCCCATTGAACTCATTCCGGACCGTTGTTCCTTAAAGCAACGTCCTCCTCTGTTGATCGTTTTGGCGTGTCAATCAATCACGGAAACAATAGGATACCTGTTCAGAGGCAGTGAGATGCTTGTATTCGGTCAGAAGTACATAGTTTACCTTGACGGGTATATATACCCAGGGCTTATGTAATCTTATGTAATCTACAAGGTGCGGTGACTAAGTAATAGCCGCGGAGTTCCGACACACCCCCCCAGATCTAGAAAAGATCTGTATATCACAACCGTATCGCGGAGTTATCCTTCTGAATCAGTTACGTTCGTTTAGTGACGGATGTGATCATATCTCGTGGGATTGTAATGAGATGCTGGATAGATCGCATATTCAGGTGCTCGAGGAATTTCCGGTGGTTCTGAGGGGAGAGTATCTTGGTAAGACCGTCGGCGACCATCTCAGATGTGGAGACCCATTCAACGTTGAGGTCACCAGTCTGAACCTCTTGGCGTAGCCAGAACTGATGGATATTAACGTGACGGAGGCGTGAAGTGAGCAAAGGGGTTGGCTTAGAGACAATACCAACTGTCTGCTTATTATCACATTGGATCGTGAGTTCTTGCTCTGGATCAAATCTGAGTTGACGGAAGAGACGGTTCATCGCGATTACTTCGCGTGCTGCCCAGGAGAGGGCAAGGAGCTCAGCTTCGGTTGTAGAGGTCGTTACCACTGTCTGACGGGCGGATTGCCAACGAACGGGGCCGTTGAACAGGTAAATGATGTATCCGTTAGAGGACTTGCGAGTCTCTGGATCATCAGCGAAGGATGCGTCAGAAGCAGCCTGGACGGGAAGTGAGCTGGCATCTGGAGGAGGTTGTGAAGACCCGGAGTATTCAAGTGCGTGGAATTTCGTCGTCTTTAGGTAGGCGATGCAGCGATCAGCCTCTTCTATATGCCTTGGAGACGGATTGATGTTGTGACGGGAAAGCCTGGATACCGCAAGGGCGATATCAGGGCGTGTGGTCACTGCGGCATATACAAGGGATCCGACCTTCTGCTGGTAACCTTGGATAGAGCGAACGGATGCGGTTCCCTCATACCGTTGATCGGAGAAGTCTTGGGAAAGGGGTGAATTGACCGGTGCTGCCTCTTCCCGATGGAACTTGTTGACCAACTTATCTACGTAGGCGTCTTGACAGAGCCAGACCTTCCGTTGTGCACGATCGCGGACGATACGAATGCCGAGGAAGACCTCGATATCACCGAGTATCCGGGACTCGAACCGTGCGAGGAGTTTACGAAAGAACTCATCGATTAGTGGACGATTCGACTTCGAGCCGAGTACGATAATATCGTCAACGTAGACAAAGACGATAAGTGATGGGGACATAAATACGCAGGGGTCCTCGGTGATTGCTGTAAGACCGAGGGTGGAGAGGAACTCAGAGATAGTTTCGAACCATAGCTTTGGGGACTTGCGGAGTCCGTAGAGGGCTTTCTTGACGAGGAAGCAGCGTCCTTTCTGACCAAAGCCTTCGGGGCAGCGGATATAGACCTCGGTATCTTGAACCGCATTGGCGAATGCATTAGTAACATCAGCGGCAACGCATTCAAGGTCGAAGGCAGCCATAAGGGCCATTAGGACGCGGAAGGTGGAGTACGCACCAGCGGCAGCGTAAAGGTCGTCTCGATTCTGGATAAATTGGAGGTCTCCGCGAATGCAGAGGCGAGCTTTGAACTTGGTGAAGTATCCGTTCTGATCCTGCTTGTATTTGAAGACCCAGCGAACAGGGAGGACCTGTTGGCCTGTAGGTATATCAACCTCGACAAGTGTTCCCATTTCGATAAGCTTTGCGATCTCAATCTTGGCTGCCCGGAACCATTCAGTGCTGTAGAAGTGGTGTTTCATATCAGACCAGTGTTGTGGTTCACGAGGCATGTCAGAAACTAGGACAGCTTTGGCGACAGCGACGGAGAAAGCATGGATTGCGTTTTCGATAAGTTCATCTTGGGATTGGATGGCACTGTTTCTTTGGACGTCTCTTGCCTTGGAGGAAAGTGTGATTTTCCTGCCAGACCTTGTAGAGCGTAGGTTTCTTAGTGCGCTAGTTTCCTTTTGAGCAGTAGTAGAGCGCGTCTGGCGCGTGGTAGGCTCAGGAGGGACTGATGGAGTTGGAGTAGAGGAACCAGTTTCGGGTATATCCTGTGGTGTTGGAGAGGAGACCCGGTAGGACTGGAGCGTTTCCTCGATAAGCTGAAGATCTGGTGAGGCGTCTTCGAAACCTGTATTGGTAGGGGAAGCGGAATCACTCTGGATTCCTCCCTAAGGATTGTTGTCAAGAGGCTGAAGTGCCTGATGACTGGACGATTGCTGAGAGTCCGGTTCAGGTGTTGCATCAGGCGTAGCAAGATGACCTGGAGGGCTGGATAGGAGCTGTTGGACCTTAGCGCTTGTCTGTGGAAGTAGAGACAATAGGCTGTCAAGGTCTTTGGGCTGGATGCCGTTGTGCGCAGGGTTAAGGGAATCATTATCTGGAATAGGAGGAAGTTCCGTGTTGAAGCGAGGAACTATAACCTCAAGCTGTTGGATATCCTGGTCTGAAGGAGGAGATAGGGTAGCGTGGAGGACTGGGTCGTACTGAATGGACTCATCGATCCGGACGTCTCGGCTATCGAGGATACGATTTAGCGAAGGAACCCAGACACGATAGATGTTTGAGGCAGAGTAGCCAGTCAGAAAACCTATATGAGCGCGTTCTTCCATCTTATCCTTCTTTGCGTTCTCTTTGCGTACGAAAGCCTTAGATCTAATGATCTGGAGATGGGAGAGGTTTGGCTTCCTCTTCGCGATAATCTCAAAGGGTGTAATGAACTTGTTAAGAGTAGGGTGCTTGAATGGAGTCCGATTAAGCAGGTACTCGGCATGCGCGACAAATTCAGGCCAGAGAGACTTCGGAAGTTTAGACTCGATGCAGATTTTGCAAGCCATAGTTACCATCACCCCCCCAGAACGTTCTATAAAGCCGTTCTGGTCGTGTGTACCTGGAGCGGAGTGATTGACCTCGATTCCAGCGTCGCGGCAGAACTTGTCAAACTCATCGCTGAGGGCTGTCTCATTATCGAGCTGGAGAGTAAGGACTCGAAATCCCCAGTTGTAGATCCAGCAGAAGAATTCCTTAATGCAGGCCATTTGTGTCTGTTGTTTCTTGTCGCGGATAGGGAAAGCCCTATGGAACGTAGAGTATGGATCATAGAAGTGGAGGATATACCTGTCATCGTTGAAGGCATTTTCCATGAAGACTAGGTCAAGGCAAACCTTCTCAAAGGGGGCGTTACCACGTGGTTGTGGTACGCGCGAGATCCGCTTTGGGACTTGAGCTAGGTTGCAGGTATCGCACAAGGAGTTGTCCTTGTCTGGCGAGGAGTGGGTGATAATTCTGATACCTTGTACAGCGTCAGGCATGTGGCGTATAGCGTCCGGACGAGCGTGACCAAGGCGTCGATGCCATTGCTCTAGCGGAGCAGTGGTCATAGAGATGTCGTAGGACGATGCTGCGTTGGCAGTATAAACAGCAGGTTGTGGAACGATACTGTCTGGAGGTTCGAGAAAGAGAAGGTGATTCTCCTTAAAGAGTCTCGCAATGTAGTGATCACCATTTCTGTGACGTAAGGAGTGATCTTTACCAAAGTAGTATATGTCGACCTGATCGAAGAGTTGTCCGCCTGCGATATTAACATGGAAACCAGGGAGGTAGATGACCCCCTGTAGCTCCATAGTTCGGGTGTTTCCACGAAAATCCTTAAGAGTGACGTTGACTGATCCAGTACCGTGATACTGATGGAGGGCCATGCCGAAACGGATGGCTCCAGTATCATTGGGTTTGAAGTCGTGGAAGCGGTGGATATCGTGACAGACATGGACGTTCGCGCCAGTGTCGAAGATAAACCGATTAGTGGCATAAGACTGGTGATCGATTGACGCGATAATGATGGTATTCGCCTCCTTTGGAATCTGCGGTGCCGGAGGAACGATGAGTTGGGCACTTGGATTAGGAGGGAGCCATGCCGGTGCTGTGACCTTGTCGCGTTGGAGCTGCTTATAGATCTTCTCAAGCGGTCCTGGAGGGAGCCTCTGAAATCGTTCGATAATAGCAGGGTCCTCGTGATGATCCTTGGATCGCCTGGAGGAATTGATGTGAGGGCATTCCCCATACCAATGTTTCACTCCACAGATGCAGTCTTTGTACGGAACCTTTGCATTACGTTGTCCTCTTTGCGGTTGATGTTGGTGTTCAGCAACTTCGAGGGTTACGTTAGCGAACTTCTGCGAAGAGTCTTGGTCGTTGTGGAAGATTTCAAAGCCGAGGAACCAATCAACGAGTGTAGGAAGGTCGGCAAGGGTAGGGCTAAGCGTGTCTCCAGCGATGCGGGTATAGACGTGCGTCCGAAATTCCTTATTAATGGAATTAGCGGCGGCTATAAAAGCTCGGCAGATATATCGGTCAGTAAGATGATCAATAAGATCTCGGACAGACTCAATCTTCTCTTGCAACTTAAGCTAATCGTTGGCATAGTCTAGATTAGACTGATTCCGGTTCTTCTTTCCCTTCTTCAAACGGTTGAACTCTTCTTCAAGGTAAGATGCCAATTTGGTTGACTGTGGAGCCGCGTAACGGTGGAGTGACTGCAACATGTCCTTGGCAAGGTATTTGCCCTTGATATACCGAGTCATACCACCACTGACGGAAGCGGTGATAGCGTTGGCGAGATTCTTGAGTTCAGCCTCACGGAGATCGTATGCTCTTTTCTCGTATTCGAAGGTTTTCCAGAGCCATTGTATGTCAGGGTTCGTCTCATTTCCAGATGGACTAGGAGGAAGAGCAGGATCCTTATGGATAGGTTGCTTTACTGCTTCCTTTCCTTCTGAGGCAGGGCTTTCGACGAAGGTTGGGTTGACGTAGTCCCAAACTTTGATGCGTTGGGCGTAGTTCTTGATCTCTTCGTACCAGTCGATCCAGTTGGTGATATCCTTCAACGGGTTCTGGATAGTGACCGTATGATTGGAATTGGTAGAAGAAGACATTGTGAAAATGTCGCTATAATAGGACAGTTCCTAGACGTAGGTAGGAATGGAGTCTCTCGGGATGTCGTCGAGGGACGCGGAAGCGGGCGGAAGACGATGCTTTGGCGGAGCAACGGTCTATATTGAGATCAATCGGAAAGCTGATATAGAGATCGAGCTTCAAGGCAAATTGGGCTCATAACTGTTGATCGTTTTGGCGTGTCAATCAATCACGGAAACAATAGGATACCTGTTCAGAGGCAGTGAGATGCTTGTATTCGGTCAGAAGTACATAGTTTACCTTGACGGGTATATATACCCAGGGCTTATGTAATCTTATGTAATCTACAAGGTGCGGTGACTAAGTAATAGCCGCGGAGTTCCGACATCCTCCGACCTCTGACGGTCCTCTGACACGTCGTCGTACGAGTCTCGATTCCTACCTCTTAGGAATCGTCCTCCTACAACTCTTTTCACTATGTCTTCCTCTACCAGCTCTAATCACACAGTCACTATCAAGAGCACCTTGAAGGATATTACTAACTGGATCGACTGGTACGAAGAGATCAAGAACTACGCCCAACGCATCAAAGTTTGGGACTACGTCAACCCAACCTTTGTCGAAACCCCTGCCTTAGATGGAAAGGAAGCTGTAGCGCAGCCTATCTATAAGTCTCCTACCATTCCTTCTCGTCTAACTGCAGACACGGATCTCAGCCTACAACAATGGATCTGGAAATCCTTTGACTACGAGAAAAGGGAGTACGATCTCCGTGAAAATGAACTGAAGAACCTGGCCAACGCTATCACCGCTTCTGTCAGTGGTGGTATGACTCGATACATCAAGGATAAATATCTCGCCAAGGACATGTTGGAGTCGCTCCACCGTTACGCCGCCCCACAGTCAACTTAATTGGCATATTACCTTGAAGAAGAGTTCAACCGCTTAAAGGAGGGCAAGAAGAACCGGAACCAGTCCAATCTCGACTATGCCAACGATTGGCTTAAGTTATAAGAGAAGATTGGGTCTGTCCGTGACCTTGTTGACCATCTTACAAACCGCTACATCTGTCGAGCTTTCATAGCCGTCGCTACTTCAATCGAGAAGGATTTCCAGGTACACGTCTTCAACCGCATCGCTGGAAATACGCTTAGCCCTACCATGGCCGACCTTCCGACACTCGTCGATTGGTTTCTTAACCTTGGAAACTTCCTTAGCAACCAAGACTCCTTATAGAAGTTCGCTAACGCAACCCTCGAAGTTACCGAACGACAACAACCGTAAAGAGGACAACTTAATGCTAAAGTTCCGTTCAACGACTGTATCTGTGGAGTAAAACATTGGTTTGGAGAATGCCCTCACGTCAATTCCTCCAGGCGATCTAAGGACTATCACGAGGACCCTGCTATCGTCGAACGATTTCAGAATCTCCCTCCAGGACCGCTTGAGAAGATCTACAAGCAGCTCCAACGCGACAAGGTTTTAGCACCGGCATGGCTCCCTCCTAATCTAAATGGCCAGCTCGTTATTCCTCTAGTACCGCAGATTCCAAAGGAGGCGAACACTATTAATGTCGCGACAATTGATCGCCAGCCTTATGCCACCAATCTATTTATCTTTGATACTGGTGTAAACGTTCACGTCTGTCATGATATCCATCGCTTCCATGACTTTAACCCCAATGATACTGGAGCCATTCGTTTCGGTTTGGTCCTCCATGTGAAGGAACGAAGACTGAATTCAGTTTGATGCCTGGGGGTGTGGGTGCCTTGTGGCCTTACGATGTGTTATGTTCACCCCCAAGGCCTACTTATCACTCCCTCACACAGCGGATTGTATTTTAGATCCTTCTTGCTCCTTTGTAGATTGATTCTAGTATATCACGAATCACAGAGTTTTGCCTCATTCTTCGTGCCCTGACACTCCACCAGTATCATGGTACTAGGTCGGTCAACGTTATCTATAAGGATACTTATAGTAACAACCGGACTATGGAGCTATAGGGGGTTATCTACCTCCCCGGCTACCATATTAATATCGCAGGCGGACTGCTCTTCGATTAGATCGATATCTATTACTTTGGTAAAGATCACTTCTTGCGTCACAGAAATAGTGATCACTATATTACGAGACTCTTTAAGGAGAACTACCTCCTCTTCCTCGAGCCTCCTAACAGTATCGCTACATAACCTGCTGTTTACACCGCTAACGCAGCGTCGTCCTACGGCATCTCACTACCCACCGCTCCCCCAGAGCAATGGCATCGGCACCTTGGTCACGCTCGTCCAGACGCCGTACACCACATGCCTGACTCTATACAAGTTCCTCGCTTCAATATCGAACTTCCCCCTATTCCAGATGATCATTACCTTGACTCTACGCACAACTGCATCCAGCCCAAAAACCTTAACAGCCCATTGTCTCCACTTCCACAGACAAGCTCCGAGGTCCAAAAGCACACATATGATCCTTCAGGTTACCTCGCCACGCCCGAAACAACACCTGAACCGGATCCTTACCAATCGTCCAGTCATCGGGCATCCTAGCTTCTTGATATCCTTCCCCAGGAAAGAATCCACAGTGATTCCCCTTCCCCTACCAATGAAAAGTTCGAAGATGCCTTACCAGATCTTCAGCTCATCAAGGAAACGCTCCAGTCCTACCGGGTCTCCTCTCCAGCACAGCAGATAACACCCGCAACTGTTTCCTCTGCCCCAACACCGCCAGTCCCTCCTGGGCCTCCACCGCGCAGGAATAAACAAACTTCCGCCGCCTCTTCTTCAGCACAGCAGCCTCCAATGCGCCAGACGCGTTCCACCACTGCTCAAAAGCAAACCAGCGCACTGAGAAACCTACGCTCCACAAGATCTGGCAGGAATATCACACTTTCCTCCAAAACACAAGACCTCCAAGGAAACTGCACCTCATCACAATCCCACGAGATATGATCGCATCAGTCACCGAAATGAACTTAAGTGATTCCGCGATTCCGTTGTGATATACAGATCTCTGCTAGATCTGAGGGGGTGTGTCAAGATCTGATGTCATTACTTAGTCATTCGTTTCCCCGCTTCGGCTATTACTTAGTCATTAGTTTCCCCTCTTCGGCTATTACTTAGTCATGGGTATATCTACCTCGTTCGGTACTCTACTTCTTACAGAAATACAAGCACTTTACATTCTTCGTCACGTAACCTATTGCTTCCGTGTGGATAGACACGCCTAAACTATCAACACGAATCGTGAGGCAAACATTGAATTGTTGCTATGAAGGCGGAATCTATCTAAAGTGTGCGAGGAATTATGTCCTGATGGTGCAGAGCAAACGGGCCACAAGGCCACAAGGCATCCAGGTCTACAGACCTCTGATCCATCACATATAGCCTGCAGACTTCCCACCTGCTCAGACAGTTCATTAATCTACAACAAAATGGATCATATTATACTCCAAACATCATCTAGATCAGAACTTAGAGGAACAGAGGCACCCAGCACACTGACCATCTTATTCCCTTAATACAGTTATAATATTTCCCTATGTTAGCCGCAGATATAGAAGCCAGTTAGAAGACCGAAGATAGAAAACGGGGGCAGAAGGCCACAGGGCACAAATGTATGTAATTAGTCAGCCTCGGTAGTTCCCCACATGGGCCTCGCTGAGAGGCCTGACGGGCGTTGAATCTCTCTCTCACTCAGACCTTACGGAACTTCGTTCCTCCAGAGTCCAGGCACTTCGTTCCTCCAGGCACTTGCTGCAGCTACAAGGTTTTCGATTATTATATGAAAGGACTCCAAAGCTGCTAAAGACAAATCGGTAGGAATCTACAACCACGAGGCCTCGCGGCCTAGGCGCTACCCTGGAGTATTACCGCGCCAGAATTATGTCCTCGATCTTGGGAACAGCACAAAAAGCCCTTCAGGCATGTCAGGCTTGCAGGTACGAGTAACTGATCTGAGACTCGCGGTGGCTCACACATATCGCAGGCGCCTGAAGCGAAAATGCACAAGAGATGTACCATCATGTGCCCTGGTATAAAAGCAGCCCTATATCTATAGATATGACAGCATATGAGAACCATGCTTATTCGCAGTAGTGCATTCGCCTTCGGAAAAAGTGCGAATATACTGATTGGTCGGAATCGAACACTACTGCGAGCAATGCGGTATTCCATACATCAGTGCCCCGTCCCCATGTTGATAGTAGAAGTCACGTTAAGGACTATATCGCGATAACTACCAACCAGCACAGCTCCGCCGAAGGCCCCAGCCGACCATTTCCGCTATCGTTCTTCTTGGATACCGATTTCCTGACCCCTTTGAATGCAAATGCTCTCGATTTTGGGTCTGAATCGTCCCCCATTTGGAGATCTGCATTAGCCTCTCTTAAGCATGATCATAGCGAGATCTGTCTGCAATATCTCGCGACTGTGCACATGTGGCTACCCATGATTAGCAAGAAGCGACTTATACGAGACCTAGAGAGTCTAGACCATGGTTCTGCCCACGTGGACACCTGTCTGCCTCTCCTTCTATTATGCATGGGTCTCTGCTTAAACCGAATCGAGTATCGGCCTTCCATCTCTAGCTTATATGCAGTCGCAACATCACTCTGCTCGACCGCGGAAACGACTGGGTTCGTCTCTATACGTCTCGTTCAATCTCTTGTTCTATTAGCTGTATATGAGCTCTCTAACGCCATTTATCCGGCCGCATACCTCACCATAGGCCGTGCGGCCCGGCTGGGTATTCTAATGGGTATGCATGATAGAGAGCGCGCGCAGCAGCTCTTTGAAGACTTCGAGACCTGGACTCTCCGCGAAGAGCAACGTAGGACATGGTGGGCGGTCTTCGTACTTGACAGGTCTGTAATAATGTTCGTTTGTATAGTATATACCGACTAACCCATCGGCTAGATTTGTGAACATCGAAACGAGGGGAATGCCGTTTGCAGCACCTGAGCCCTGTTTCGAAGAGCTTTTACCAGTCAACGACGAAGATTGGGACAGCGGAACGATAGTGGGAAGCGAACATCTATACTCCACCACCTTCAGCGAAACCATGGTGCTAGGTTCATTTGCCACTGTGTGCCAGAGTGCTCACATGCTCAGTAAGGTCGCCCATCACAGAGCAGCAAAATTGACATCAGACGACGCCGCGCACCTGCTTTCCGAAGCCCACAATCTCCACACCGCGCTCTCTATGCTCCATTCCGCCCTCGACAAGTCGGAAATTAATGGCACATCGTTCAATAACTCCCAATCCCCTTCTAGGCTGATGGCTTCGGCGCTTTGTACTTCAAGCGGCCTCATACTGTACAACTTATACGGTTGCAATGAGCCTACGGGCTCCACCGTACGGGAGCCTCTCGCACTAGAAATGCAGAACATTTGTCTCCGTGGTATTAAAGATCTTGCGGTTTCTACTGCACCAAAGATTGCCAAAATTGACACTGCATGCCCCTTCACGGCGCCATGTTTGTACCATGCTGCTACAGAGTGCGCATGGTTTATACGAGAAGATCATGATCCAAAAATGTACGAGGCTCTGAGGGAAATCGTTAAAGGGCTACAGTGCCTTGAGATACGCTGGCGTCTTGCAGGTAAGTCGAATGAACAGCTCTGTTACAGGCCTAACATCGAATTCAGGGGAGTATCTGAACTTGCTTGAACAAGCAGGAGCCATGAAACTCATTAATCGCGAATGAATAATTCTGCTTAATTTGACCCGTGCTGCTATTTTACACCAGTAACAGTTAACTTACTAGTGCGTTCAGCTTTGCCTTCTTATAGCAACCAAGCGGCTATGGTCATGGTGCATTCGCCCCAACAAGCTGTTCGCTCAATGTCCATAACCTGTTTTCATCGTCTGTCCGTCCCTTGGCCCACGGTGCTGCAGCAGCACTCATCGCGTTATAGAAGTCACCCGTTTCCGGAGGCGCAATTTGGCAGTCATGGAGGTACTCTCCTCCCTTCCCTTCCCACACTCTACCAACCGCAGCCCAAAGCGTAGTAGCAGACCCCTGCTCGGCGCTTAGCATATGAATGTTAATGTTAGGGTTCAGCTTAAACGCATCCACGATGTCAGCTGGAGTGTAAGCCAGCAGACCAGTCCAAATTCCACCAGGCCCCACAGATAATCCATGGACACCGCGGGAGCCGTATTTGCGGTCAATGGTATTCGCCATCCATATATTTGCTGTCTTACTCTGACCGTAAGCAAACTCAGGATTATAAATAATCGGATGAGAATTGTAGTGCTCCCAAGAAATCGTGGCATGCCTGTGCGACGAGGAGGAAACATTCACTACACGAGACTGTAGTTGTGGCGTGGCGCTCTTTTCAAGTGTCGGCAAGAGCAATACGGTGAATAGAAAGTGCGCAAGGTGGTTGACACCAAATTGACGCTCGAATCCGTCTTCAGTCAAACTGTAAGGAGTTCCCATGATGCCTAGAGCAGACTCAGGAACCGCAAAAGTCAATATATAGAAGTGGACACATACCGGCATTGTTGATGAGGATATTCAACTTAAAACTTTTGGACAAGAAAACCTTGACCGCCTCTCGCACCGACTGAAGCGAGTCCATGTTCATGATCACAAAATCGAGTTTACCCTGACTCTCCGATGTAGTCCGGATATCTTCGATCACTTTTTTTGCTTTGGCAGCATCACGAGCGGTGAAGTAGACGTCTGCCCCGGTGGCGTGCAAAGCTCGCACCGCCTCGACACCAATGCCATTTGTTCCACCTGTTATAAGCCCGACTTTCCCCTCGTAAGCGTTAACGAGTCCGTCGTCTTGAACCACGCGGAGGGCAGTGGGTCGCTTGTCGCCAACCCCTTGGGGATTGGTATACAAGTCGGCATAGGGTTTGAGTTTGTCGGCCATGATAACTTTGTAGTTGCTCGTAGATGTACACTTGTAAGAGGATAAAGATATAATGCTAATGACCTTTCCACTCGAACACTCCTATGCAAGACTTATATACCTGCCCAGAGCTCAATATGAGCACATCATAGATAGCTTCGCCCACAATTGCAAAGTTAAATTCACGATTATAAATCGAAGCTTATGAGCGTGACGTAGATATCGGACAGATATTGGTATGCAGGGACCTGGAATGCGCGCTCGCCGCCACGCGCTAGTTTAGCTTCCGCTCCCGCTTCAACGTCCGCTCGTGCGTCCGCTCCTTTTTGGCTTGCCATTGGCGCAGCCGCTCAGTTTTATGGAGGTGTGTTTACAACGCCAGATGATTCACTTGGTGCCACTAAGATCTCTAACTACGGAGATAACAGCGTGTATGGAGTTTATGACATTTTTATCCAAAACTCCGGTCATGATGCCCGTGAATGATTCTTTGAGTGGTACTCACAACTGCAGTAATGTAAACCGAGTAGGCTATAAGACCAGAAAGCTATGCTGTTCCACATCGATACTTAACACTATTCTAACTACAATTACAATACCTTTTCGCTATCAAAAGATCAAATCAATCATTATGGCTAGCGGTCTCATACTACTTACTGGAGCGACCGGATTCCTCGGCATACGGGTCCTTGCACTTGCCCTCGAACGCGGATACCAAGTGCGTTGCGCGATTCGCAAGGCGACAGACCTCGATAAGCTCCGAGGCGCACCAAGAATTGAACGCCTGTCACTTGCAGAAAATCAACTGTCTTCAGTCGTTGTGCCTGATATGACTGTCTCCCATGCTTATGACGAAGCCGTCAAAGGGGCGAGGTACATCGTCCATTGCGCATCGCCGATGCCGAACGTTAGCTCGAAAATCGGATCTGGTTCTGAGGAGGATGCTTTTGTTACGCCCGCTGTGCTGGGTGTAATGGGCATTCTGGCCAGTGGAGCAGAGCATGCCAAAGATACACTGAAACGAGTCGTGATTACGTCTTCCATTGTCGCCATCACCCCACCGGAGTACTTTATAGGAAAGGGGGACTCCAGTAAACTGCCAGTCACCTCGGAGTGGCGGATACCGAATCTCAGTCAACCATACATGCCTGGTTTTGGAGTGTATCAAGCTAGCAAGACAAAATCTCTTAACACTATCGAAGAATGGCAGAGCACGAACGCAACCCCTTTCGACATTATCACGCTTATGCCGAGCTTGATTTTGGGCGTGGATGACCTTGCGACGACACCGAGGGAGCTTGAAAAGAGCGGTAATGCTATTCTGCTGAGTCTACTGAAGGGAAATCAATCACCCATTCCACTGAACTCTGCCGTTGTGGATGTGAATGATGTCGCCTTGGCACACCTCCGCAGCCTTGACGAGAATATCACTGGTAACCAGAGTTTTATCCTGGGTGGACCTGGTGATTGGATCAAGACAACGGCCATCGCCAAGTCAGTTGTTCCGGGGGCGTTTTCCGACGGTATACTGCAAGAAGGTGGAGTACAACATACATTTGACGTGGCAGTCGACGCCCGTAAGACAGAGGGGCTGCTCGACATCAAGCCAACGCCCTACCACAACACCGTCGCTGCAGTTGCTATACAGTATGTCGAACTTTGTAAAGGGGCAAAAGTTTAGCCGTAGGTAGTAAAACGATACTACACGCTATATAGTTTGTTCCTAATGGCATAATACGTGTAGCCACCTTAGATGGTCCGCATGAAATCGTGCGGAGCTGTGCCTGTCCAACTTATCAGTGAGCTATGACTATGGTCTCCTTCTTCTATCCTTCTTACACTTCGGTTTTCTTTTGCCTTTTCCTTCACCCCTATCCTGATTTCGCTCTGCTTACTGATCAACCACCATATGCGCCATTTGCAATCGCGGAATCCTCTACCTACGCACTCTAGTCGCCAGCAGAGAAGCCATTATTAATCGACAGACTTTACCATAATCAGGGTCCAAGCAAGATGGGACTACAAGGATGAGCAACAGTTATATATCTAGCAGCAGTTATTGATAGAACCAATATTATAGTAACTTAGTAACCTTTATGGTTCAAGAACTACTAGTATCCAAACATGGCGAGCTGTAGGTTCATAGAGGTAATTGTAACCTCCCCCCCTGCGTGATGGAACGCCCGCCGTGCTGGAGCGAAGTCGAGGTACTTGTTATGGGCATGGCCCATGGTTGGCATAGGCTGAGAGCCTAAGCCTAATCAAACCTAGCGTAGAGATGGAACCTCATCAAGATTCCTCTGTCACAGCTACCTTGTACTCTTCATCTCAATCTAGAATATCTTTGGCTACGCGTATGTTGTGTGCATCCAGCTACCGTGCCGTAACAGGGAGAAGGAGAAAGGGAGTAGGAATGTAGTCGGAAGGGGAAAAGAGGAGGAAGAAGAAGGAGAAGGAAAAGGGAGAAGGAGAAAGGGAGTAGGAATATAG